CGTTTATTTAAATATATGTAGTGGAAGTGTGCATAAATATGGTGAAATGCTATGTACTCTGAACAGAATCTGGAGGAATCTGAACCATATGGGTGGAAAGGCAGGCTTGGTGTGAGGGCAGTGTGGGAGGCTCCTGGGAAGGGCTCTGGGTGCTGTTGCCCACGCTCAGGGGCTGCCCCTGTTTTCTGCTCTATGCCTCTTCTGTCTCTCCCTCCCTTCTTCCATCCATCCCTCATTCCATAACTGCTCCCTTCTTCCTGTGCATGTCATGGAAATTGGCAGCAGGATGGGAGGGAGCTGAGAGAGGAAAAGAAAGGAAAAAGGAAAGGAAAGGAAAAAGGGAAGGGACCTGCAGTGTCACCACCCTCCCACACTTTGGCTGTCCTGATAGCACTTTTTCTTGGACTAATGGGATTTCATCATGTGGGGGAAAGGCACATGGTTCTTAAACTCTTTAATTTTAAAAATCTCAACTGGTCTGTTCTTTCTGACAGTTAAATATTTTTAGTTCACGGATAACAGGTTTCATGGCTTTCATGAAAAATAAAGGTTTTAGTTTTCTTATTTCATCTGGAAATTTTAGCTTTGAACATGGGAAATATCAATGTGAAAGTCAGGTTTTCTAGTAAAATAAATATTTTAAAACAACAGATTAAAATTTAAGGTATTTAATAATCTTGAGGCATTTAAATCTTCCTCATGTGATTAGTAAATGATGATCCATTTACTCATATAGGAAGAATTGATGATGAAAGAACTAAGAATTCCAAAGGATATTTAAATTAATAATCGCAGCTCCTAAATTAAGAGCAGACTGTCTGAATCTGGAGCTATAAAAACCTATCAAATTTTGTATGCTAAACAATGAAAAAGTCTGAATTTTTTACTGATCTGAATGGAAACAATGAGTGTTATAACCAGATGAATATTCGATTAAAAGCTGTACCTGTTCTTGACCATTCTAAAATGTTCTTCATGTTAAAATTTGATTAGTTGCAGCAGAGTAAAAGATTCATCCCAACATATGGGAGAGAGAAATGAGTTACAGGACCTGCAGTGATGCAAATGTTCTTCTATCGATAACATGGCACAGCAAAAACAACCTTTTTAATGGAAGGCAGTTTCTCTTCCAGCTTCATGGAGAAGAAGTTTTCATAATGATCGTTATCTTGACCAACAATTTTCCTCCTCCATCCAAGGCTCTGAAGGAGGAGAAGCTCCGAGGAATTAATTTATTGGAAGAACAGTTCTTTATTCTTGCCAGTTCTGTCAATAGCTCCTTTTGTGAAGAACAAATATGTCAGGAGAAACATTATTGACCGCGACAAAGTGATGCCCTGTGTTTAAGAGAACAGAGGCAAGGTCACTGTTTTGAACTAAGTATAAAATAGATTATCTGTTTCCCCACCCCCTTCCTTTTTAGTGTCTCTTTCCCCTCCTTGAGACCTTGTTTTGTGTCTGAGTCAGTGGCAGGACCCGGGTCAGCCGCAGCTGTCCCAGCTGCCCCAGCACCGCGGCTCTGGCCAGGGTCCCTCATTCTCCTGAAGCAAAACATTTCTGTTTCTGCTAGTAGGGAGCTTTCCACATAGGGAAAAAAATCCGTGTGCTTGATCAGTTCTGCTTCTGTGCCCCCTGCTTTGTGTTGCCACCGGGTCGCTTTGGGATCGCCCGTTGGATGATGAGGATCGTGGCCAAGCCGGAGCGTGCAGGGAGTGCCTTAGCCTGGCTCTCCCACTCACATGGGCTAAATGCATGCAAGTACCCCTGAACCCCAGCAGCAGCTTCTGGTTCCAGTGGAGCCACATCAGGGATGACATGAGGTCTGAAGGAGGACACTGCAGGGGTTGCCACTTGGAAGAGGGTGTTCTATATTATGTGCAAATAGTAGGGAGGTAAGACAGGGAGTATCAGTGAGATGAGGCAGAGTGAAAGCCTGATATCGCTGGTCGAAGAAGAGTTGAAGTCTGATGCACCACCAGTAACCCAGTTACTGGGTTTGTTTGCTGGGGCAAAGCTTTGATATGAAGTAGGATGAGCCTTGTCCAGGTGAGGGGATGAACTGGTGCAGGCTGGCTCCCTCAGACAGAAGCTCTTTTCCAGCAGGGTGGTCTCTTTGGCTGCTTTGCACTGCAGTCTCTCGAGGGGTGTCAGCAGCACTGTAAAGCAAAGAAGGATTTGCAATGCACAGTTTGCTGTAGGCTCTTGCAGAAGTGGCACTAGAAATCAGAGCTATGGAGTAAAACAAAGCAGCAGTGACCGCTGAGAAACATGGAAAGCAAAAAAAAAAGGAAGTTTAAGGCTGTTGTTATGGACTTTTGTGCCCTGCACCCTGTAATTAGGCTCAGTAATTGCTGATAGTCCTCTGCCCATGCAGTAATACACTTCTGACAGCCTCCACAGAGATCTTGGTCTGACAGATAGGTTTGTGCTGATTTTACACACACAGCTCTTAGTGCTGGGCCATACACCCAGATTATTTCTCTTTTAATCTTTGCAAGAAGTGGGATGTCTGAGGCACTTGCAAAGGATTCCAAATTGTCCACCTCTGCAAGTAATAAACTAATATAACCTCAGAACAGGCCCTACTGGCTGTTGCAGAGCTCATGGGCAGATGTCTGGCCTTGTTCCCCCTTGTGCAGAGGAACCACTGGTCCCAACAGTCCCTTTCACCACAGCACTCAGTTCCAGTTTAGCTGAAAGGAATGGGTTGGCCCATGAAGAAAACAATCATTCACATGACTGGGATGAGTGCTCCCCAACTCTTGAACGCAGTGGGGGTCCCTATATGGCTAAAGATTTCTGAAAGGGTGCTATTTCACTGGTCCTTGAGAGTTAGAAGCGGAATTTAAAACATTTGACAGTAGAATTTGTCAGAGACAAAGCTCAGAGCGGGAGGGAGGGTTTCACCATCACCTGTCCTGGTTGGCCAATGTCAGAACACACAATTAGTAGTTATTGTTATGTAGATTGCTTGATATTGGCTTTGTTTTTATGAATTAAAACTTTCATTGTATTCCTGCCTTCTTTCAGTGCTGTCAGTACTACTTACTCATAGAGACAAATAAGTGTTTTCCAGGGGCATTTTGGAAATTTTGGTCATCTTCTGTATTTAGACCAAAAAAATAAAGTATTTGCTTTGCAGTTGCAAACTTAGAGCTTCTCTGCAACTTTGAGCTTTGCTTTGCAACCTTTTTGCTCTGCAACTTAGAACTTCTAGGCTAGAGACTTTAAAGACAGTCTCATGACTTATTTGGTAAAAGTGAAGTTTGAAGAGGTGATACTTTCCCTCTGGGTCAGCTGGGACCTGAGCATGCCCTGTTCAGGTTAAGCATCATATTTTTTTAGAAATATAGACATGTAAGGTGTGGTGCTCAGACAAATTCACAGCTTGAGTGAGTTTTATTACTTAAAAAATGTGTCTGTCCTGACAGCTGGCTTTGTTACAAACTACAGAGATGGAAACCTATGGAGGAATGAATTATAAGAAGTCACAATTATTCTTCATGTTTGGAAAACAAGCCCATATTAGTGATCATGCAGAGGTTGGGAATTGTTTGCATTGGTTCCAAAGCAGCATGGAACTGGTTTTGTCCTATGAGTAATGGAAAACAGTTTGACACATTACTGTGAAGTCAAGTGAGGAATTGGCCTTTCCCACGCCAGACCATATGTTCCTAACCTGAAAGCTGAAATTATTTCTGGATCTCTCTGTTCCAGGTGATTTGTAGTGCTGGGATTCATCTTTTTCATTTAGTGAAACATGCTGTTTGACTTCGCCTTGGTCAGTTATTACAGGCTAGTTTGCAATGTGTCAGCTCTCTGGAGACCCTGCTTGTAGCTACTCATTGGCCTAGAAGAAAGGATTTAATGATTTTCTACTTCCTCTGTGTTTGGTTTTAGGGTGTAGATATTTTATAAACGTGAGTCAAACTATTTACTGGTGACATTTTACAAATTTTCACCCTGTTTAATCTCTGAGTAACGTTTTTACGTTTGTATATGTTGTGGCCTTTGGCGTTCCAGGCTAACACGTCTCAAGGATGTCTTAAAGCGTTTTATCTTTAAGTGGATTCTACCGTTATTTTTTAATTTCTTTGTACAAAAATTGTGCCAGTCCCTAAAATAAGCCTTATCCTTCCCAGCTACCCACACCAGAGGTACAGAAGTACAGCAGGGCGAGGAGAGGGCTCAGAGGTTGGGTGCTCCATGGGGCTCTGGGTGCGTGCCAGGCCAACGAGCAGAGTGAATTGTGCAGCTTCTGTTTGGGTGCCAACAGAACCTAATTACGTGGGCTGATAGATCTCAGTGCTTTATAAAGCTGATGAAGTGGCTTTATCCCTGCTGTACAGCTCAGTAAAGCAAGTCACAGAAGTAAAATAAAATGTCTAAGCTCGGAGGTTGGGTTTGTAACTGTGGTGGAAATGGTACAGGTTTACAGTCCTCTTGCTGTAATCACAACTGCCCTTGTTGAAAGAGGGAGTGCTCCCTTCCAGTGCCTGGCTGTGCCACACACTGCAGGAAAACCAGAATCTTGAAGAGCAGCCTGGGATTCCTTTGCAACTCGTACAGATCTGGTCACAGGTGACTTGATCTTTGGAAGGAGTGTCACAATGGGGGAAATCCCTGTAGTAAGCTCCAAAGCCTGTACCTTAAATTAACACTGCTCTAAATCTCAGTTCATATTTGGGGTTATTTCAACTTCTTCTTTAGAGCCAAGCTTTGGTATTAATTTTTCAACTTTCTTCACCTTCAACTTTCTTCACCTGGTAGTTTTGGTTATGGAAATATTTGGTTTGGAAGAATGACTTTTGTGATACCCTGTTCGTATAGGAAATGTCGGTGATTCCAGCAGGGTTAATAAAGGTTTCATGACCTTTCCTTCTCAGCACATCACACAGTATAAAAACAGCATCCATGTTCATGTAAACTGTATGATTTTTCTTTCAGGTGATGTCAATCCTAATGAACACCATCATTTTTGAAGACTGCCTATGGTCTGAGTCAAGATCACTGCTTGGACTTATACTTCTCAATGAGGAAGTGAGTGTTTAACAAATTCCACCAGATTCACTCTTCATGTGCCAGAGTAGTTAAAACATCAAACAGAGCTGCCTGTTGCCCTTCAAATCTCCCATCTCTTACCCTGGGACCTCGCTCCGTTATGCTCACATTAGGTATGGAGAGTAGGTTTCATCTCATGCACTGTGTAAGTATCTTACTGATCATTTCACACAGGTTGAGTGGCTTAATTTTGATGAAAAATCCTCTCAAACTTTTACCTCAATTTTTACACCTGAGCTTGGATCATGCAAATACATGATTAACCTTTTTCTAATCAATTTTATGTCTTGATGTTTCCGGAATGAAGCAGGCATAGAAGTTATGAAAGCTCATCAGCCTTTTAGATAGAAAGATGAAACAAGAATGCTGTGAAAATCACATCAGAAAAATTGCTTCCTAGAAAAATAGTTAGCCAATTTCTTTCTCTGAAAGGTTTCCCAGGAACAAGTAGCTTTGGGGGGTATTATCTGAGCACAAGCCCTTAAGTACTGGCATTGATTGCAATTTGGATTGTGTGCATCTGTGGCAGATCCTGAAAACTGGGAAATACTCTGCAATTTGCCCAATCTGAAGCTGTGAATTTGGATATACCCATCGTGTTTCCCTGGTGACTTCACAGAGACGACGTTGTCTGAAATGGAAGCCATCTGAGGTAAATGCAGGCGTGTGGATCTGAATGGGTGCATTTCTTTGGTGTGGCAAGCTGTTGTTTCTGAAGGTACTGACCTGTTGTCTGTGCCTTTCTGCAGAGCCGGCTCTAACTTTATTCTGCATTGCTTTATCTCCTGGGCAGTCACAAGGCTCGGTGTATTACTGCTTTGGAGAATGAATTGTCTATACAATAAGAGGGCGCTGGAAAAAAATCAGACACTAAGATTAGCAGCGACCGCATACATTAAAATTCAAACTGAAATCCCAGCCACGGAAGGAAACTAATAGAAGAAGAAAATATATCAAGGAGAGAAGCGCTGTCTCATCATTCACCTGTGCTGAAGGATCCAATTTTAGCCATATCCAACAGCACTGTCATTCATCTTCTTGGTGTGTTATTGTGATTTAAATCCAAGCTCTATAAGAGAGAGCAGTTCTTTTAAAATGATTGAGAGGGAATAAGGGCAAATTCAGTGTTTAGGAAAACTTTATGACATCACAATATTATACTTTACAGATGGAAGCAATATTTCCTACTTTGGAAGGAAAACTAATCATTTTCTATCTGCTCTGAGTCACTGCATCATTATAAAAGTGGGAAATAAGTAGTTTTGTGCATTCCCAATCTTGTTCAAGACGACACTTTTGTTTATATAATGCTTCTGATTTATAGCGTTTAAGGATTAGCCTGACTACATATTAATTATGTGGGTTTGATACTTCAATATAAGAAGAAATTAAATATTTCACTTGAAGATAAAACCACGGAGCTGTAAATCACAAGGAATAAATTTGTGACTGGCAGAATACTCTTTTTACTGAAATTAGACTAGTTCTAATGATTGTGGGGTTTGCTTAGCAGACATGGATATGTACAAGCACTTTTACTTACAAACAAGTCTTACATTTCTTTTGGAAGGGTGGAGAACAAGAAATAGGATTTACAATATTTGTATTGCCCCTATTGCATCAAGGTTATTTATTCCACGTTCAGAAAAAGTAGGACACATACTTACATATAGTTGTAAAAGTCATCTTTGCTTGGCTCATTTCAGTGCAGTGCTGATTTATTTATTGGGAATGGGTTCCTTTATTTCAGGTAGGCTCTCTATCTCTACAGTTCCCAAGATAGCAAGAACACAGCTACCACGTTTTACTGCTTGTTCTCTTCTTCTTTTGTTTTAATGAGATCTTCTTTGCCTAGAATTCATTTCAAAGGGAATGCATTACGTTTACTGAGTGACTCAGAAAAGCTGGCATTGATACATGCTTGCACCAGCAAAATGGGAATTGTACCCTAACACAGCACTGAGTGTTGTGGGACAGCACCAACTCAGTGTCACTGGGGTGGCTGCACGTGGCTCCTGGCGTTGTTTCCTTGCTGAGGTGCAGCGGCAGATTTCATTTAAGTTTGGCAGGAAAACCTGTACCCTGACAATGCATTAACTGTCTCCCTCTTGCTGTTGTCCTTCAACCAAAGCACACAGGCATTCACCTGAATGGGCAGGGGTTGTTATTTAAGGCCTTGAGCAACCTGGTGTAGTGGAAGGTGTCCCTGCCCAAGCCCAGAGGGGTTGGGACTACATGATCAGTGGTTCTGTGATTGCAGAGAGGCCTCAGAATCTTTAATGGTTCTTAACTGAAGGATGGTCAGTTTAGATTATATATAAGGAAATCATTTTTTACATTGAGGTAAAACACTGACAGAGGTTGCCCAGAGATGTTCCATCTGTGGAAATATTCAAGGTCAGGCTGGACAAGGCTTTGAGTAACCTGATCTAGCTGAAGATGTCCCTGCTTACTGCAGGGGCTTGGACAGAGTGACTTTTAATGGTCCCTTCCAACCCAAACTGTCCAATAGTTCTAAACTCCAGGGATCAGAAGGGGCTGTTGGTACCCAGATGCCATGGGATGCTGTGTTCAGGAATGGTAGGCAGAGATGTCATTCCTTGCTGTTGCTTGAGGATGCTGTTGATGCTTTCTATTGTGGGGTTGACTGAAGTTCCTGGAACAGACACTGGACAAGGTCTCAGGGTTGTGGCCTTCAGGTAGCCTGAACTTTGGATTTGTCACTGTGAGACAGGGCTTCTGTGTTGGGCACAGGTCCTTTGTGTTCAGTTTGGGTTCCTAAGTGGTTTAGGAACCCAGCTGTGTGATCAGCTCCTGCCTCTGCTTCCAGTGCTGCTGGACTGGCAGCAATGACAGTGACACAGGACAGGGTGTTTCTGGTTTGAGAGGAACTGTGCTGAGGGCACAGAATTTACCAAGGAGACATTAAAGCAAACACTTCCCCTAATCCTGCAGAATTGTCACGGCTTATCCTTAGTGTTACAGTCTTACTACATTTTCTTTTATTATCCCACATTTTTGCATGTATACAGAAGAGCTGTAGTTTTGACAGTAATGGTGTGTGTTTATTTCGAGATTTTTTAAAGGTTTTAATAGGTTTACACCTGTTAAAGGTTTTTTAAAAAAATCTGGCAAACCAATCCCAGACTTTCGTGCTTTCTAACACTCTGTACGACACCCTTCAAGTTACATTAACTTCAAAAGTATACCAAATTTTGCATACTAAAAACTGATTTTCAGCCTACCTTTAACAGCTTCTGTTTTTATACACCTGGAATTTGTGGAATATGGGCAATATTCCTCTAGACTGCAATATCAGATTGCTCAGAAACCTTGCCAGGTATGTGGGCACAGGTTCATCAGAGTGGTTCATTCTCCTCTGAATAATTGGAAGTGCTTATCCCAGGGATGTGCTTATGCCCAAGGCCATCAGGCTCTGACTGACACGGCCAATGTAATAAAGACTAAATGGGGTTATATGACTTGTTTGGCTGTACTAGCAGGGTAGTGGAGCACTAGAGGTCCCCTCCTGTTCCATATTCCTAAGATAAACCAACGTTCTTCTAAGGTAATACAAAGTTCTGCTTGAAGTAGTCCATAGGTCTGCCAGAATATAATGGGAATATTAATATAGAAAGGATAGAAGGAGTTGAGCAAAACCTTTTGGTAAAGAACAGAGACAGGTAAGTTCATAGCACATAGGTAAGCTGAAAAAAAAAAATAAAAGACAAATGGAAACTGTAGCTGGAAAAATGGTAACATAGGAAGTATTCCAGGTCGCCTTAAAGTGCAGTTCCTTTTGAAAGAGAAGATAATACCCTGCCAAAGAATTCATCCCCCAACTTAACAGAGCCTGATCATTCGATAATTATGTGTTTTCCTGGTCAGAAATGTATTTCCTAATTTAATCCCGAAGTCAAGCTTTGCCAGACTGCAGCTGCTGCACTTGGAACAAACTGCCTTATTTCAGCAGGTGAATCTCAGAGCTTCCTTTTTCCCACTGAAACCCCTCAGATGAAAGCCTTGCTTCAGCCTCCAACGCTGCCATTGCTCTGACAGAGCCTTTTCCTACTGGGCTGGGGTCAAACAAGTGCTTGGGAAGTGGCAGAATGAGAAGGGATCCAGTGGGGCCACTTACACATGGTAGATAAATTAGGCAAGGACTATCTTTTTTTCTTAACATAAATCACAAATTCAGCCAATCTTGCCCTCAATTGAAGAACAGAATAGAAGCCTTCACAGAAGAAATGGCAAGTTTATCTGCACTTCATGATCACTCTCACTTTTTTTTTTTCCCTAGCTAGCTTTGTTGTCTCTTCCATGTGCATTATTCAACCAAAGCAGACTTTGAGAGAGAATAGAGGCACAGTCTGAGTCCAGGCTGGAACTTCCTGGAAAGCTTGGAACAAACTGGAAATGGGCTTGGAGAGAAGTGATGGCTAAAACCATTTAAGTGATTTTATTTCTCTGATTTCTTCTCTGTTTGTTAGTGGGAAAATAATGTTGGAATTTCCTTAAATCTCAAATAGTTTTGCAGTAATTATGGTCTCCATATTTTCTTTCCTATTAAATTCTGGTACTAAAGGTGTAAGTTCCCCATGTGGATGTGGATGATACCAGAGATGGGGGAATGTGGAAGGAAACTCAGAGAAGCACAGAGATCACATTGATGGCACTAATAAAGCAGTCATACTTTGTGTAACTTGTACTACAGATCAGCAAAAGACCTGGGGGAAAGGCAGAGGTTCACTGGGAAGGAGGAGAAACCAGGTGAAACAAAGGAGAACTGAGCTGACAGTGGTGAGCTGTGGCATTGTCCCACCTTAGAGCTGTAACTGCCCAGGGGGTTAATTTGACTGAATGGTCCTTCAGGATTTAAACGTTAAAAAAACTATTAAAAACTGAATAAAATTCATTGTTGTAACTTGATAGTTTCTTAGTTCAGTACCTATATTAATTGAAGGCAGGAAGAGGATGAGAGGACATGGCCTCAAGTTGCACCAAAGGAGATTCAAACATTAGGATGTTAGGAAAAAATTCTTCACAGAAAGGCTTATCAAGCATTGGAAGAGGCAGTCCAGGGTAGTGGTGGAGTCACCATCCCCGAAGTGTTCAAAAGCTGTGTAGCTGTGGCACTTAAGGGCATGGTGTAGTAGTGAATATGATGCTGCTTCATTGGGTTTGGTGATTTTAAAGGGCTTTTCCAACCTTACCATGATTAGAATGTAGAATTCCATGATTCTACAACGTCCTTAAGATAACACTGTTTTCTGAGAAGGCCAAACTTCCATGTGAGTTTTCTCTGAGCTGCCTTGCTCTGAGCACTGCAGACCTGCAGGACAGGACAGGGATCATGGATGATCCACCCAAGGCTGGGGGGAGCTCCATAGGGAATCAGCTCTGCTCAGGCCACAGACAGAGGCTGCCATGGCTCCAGCTGCCAGAAAATACTGGATTTGGCAAATGCTGGACTCAAACACCCCTGCATTTAAATGGGAGAGCTGTCGGAGAGCCCTGCAGAGAGCGCTCGGACAGGCAGTGGGGCAGGAGGTGCCTGAGAGCTTTTGTGGAAGTGCAGGTAGGGAGGGGTGGGTGTGAGGGGCAGATGGATAATTGGGCTGAAGGAGTAGCTCGTCTTTCTCAGCCCCATCCACCTGGGCAACCCGGGGAGATCTCTGGGCCATCACAGCCCCCACAAGCACTGAGGTGACACGAGGGCCCTCTGGTCTCAGCTCTGGGTTTGTAACCCCTCTCAGAGTTATTCCACGGAACAGGAGGCTCCTTTTAACTGCAGTTGTTCAAAATTGAGCAGAAATCAATTTCCATTAGTAAGGAAATAAGCACAAACGTAAAAAATTATGAATAGAATAAAGAATAAACTGGTAATTGCATCCTGTACCTCCACACACAGCAAGCCCCAGCTCACCACGCTGCTGCCAGACATCCCCACGCAGTGGAGGCAGGCAGGATTATTGCCCCTGATCCTGCAAAGAGACCTTTGCTGAGATCCCATCAGTTTTGCAGGCACCTGTCCCCACAGTCCTGTGCAGGAAGGAGCCCTCAGGAGCCGTTCTTGGGGAGGTTTTATTAGCTTGGCTGTTGTGAGCCAGCAGTCTGACACAATCACAGCAAAGAGCACGGAGGCAACGGACAAAGAGCATTTGAAAAACTCTAAATGCAGGGTGCAGATTTGTGTGGCAATTCTAATCGTTTTTGTGTGGTCTTAGGATTGCTTTGGAGTTTAGTTTTTTTTTAATAGAATCACAGAACGGTTTGGGTTGGAAGGGACCTTTAAGATGACCTCATTCCAACCCCCTTGCCGTAGGCAGGAGCACCTTCCACTAGACCAAACACATAGATGAGATGTGATAAATGAGATGTGATAAATGGCAATTAAACTCATTTAAGGTCATTTCAGGTGAGGAATAGACCAAGGGAGTAGTTCCTATTTGGGCTGCCGTGCAGGCTGTGTGAGTTGTCCTTCAGCCTGAGGTGTGATGCCGCTGAACAGACTACACCTGCAAGCAGTAAACTGTGGTGGGGCATTTTTGTGTGCTTGTTCTGTGCCAGGTGAGTGGTGGTACCACATTTCACCAAGCCAGGTTGAAGTCTGGCACCTCTCCTGGGGGAAGAAGGTGGGTCTGGCCAGGGAGAACCTGGCCTTGATGACCATCTGGACATGTTCCAAAGAGCCCTTTGCTGGAGGCTGGGGAGGAAGGACATGTTCTAAGTCATGTGAGAAGGGAAGGTTTCTTGTTGCAGTCACTTCCCATCTGGCTTCTAAAATGTGTCACAAGTCAATAGGCTGGGTTTATAACACTGCCTATACTTGTATTCTCCCTCTTATTTTATAGAACTGATTTCTGAGGGCACCTGGTGATTCTGTTCCTGAGTCTTCCTTGGTTTTCTTTCAATTTAATATACATTATAGTTATTATTTTTACCTGTTTGTGCAGTGCATCTCTGACTCTCGGGTCTCCTTTAACCAAATGTTTGAGGTTTCTTTTTCCCAGGTTCACTCAGAACATGTCAGTCATGGCCAAAGCTTTGCACAGAGAAGGGGCCTCTGATCCTGGGGGTCTGGATATGATGAGTTGACAAGGACTTTGGAAACAGAACACTGGCTAATAAACCAACTCTGAAAGTTTTGGGACCCTGTTATACTCTTGGAGAGATTTTTGACCCTTGTGAAAACTTTTTTTAAGATGCCTTCTGCCTTTTTGTATCTCTGGCCTAAGTGAAAGAATTTATAATAGTGACAACAGTGAAAAACCAGCCTTAGTTTGAAGAATGTTTTCAGCCTTTCTCATCGAAATTTATAATAATCCTGTTATTTTATCTTTATGAAACAGTGTAGAAACAATACTTAACCAAAGAACAAAATAAATATGCATTCTTTCTAAACTTGTATCAGCTAATGATTCTCAGTTCTGCACGTAATAGTAAGTAATACCTCATCAGGTAAAACCCCAAGCTCACTCTTGAAGACATATTTGTTTGAAAATGAGATTAAAGCCAGTACAAGCTTTAGATGACATCTTTTTGAAAAAATAAAATTACTATTTTTTACAAAATGTTATATATTTCTTTTCAGCACAGATGGTTAATGACAATGTGGACAACAAGGCAGAAGACTAAAAATGAGCAGGGAAATTAAGAATGTTACACAGAGTAAAATAAGAGCTGATGGAGTAAGCCTCAGTGAAGTACTGATGATGTTTTAATTTCACAGGTACACATTTTCCAAGTCTTTGGAAACTGGAGGGAAAAAAAAAACACAGAAGAAAATAAAGTTGTTAAAACACTTTAAAAAGAATGAAGTCTATCCATCACTACAAAAAAAAGAAAGTAGATAGTTACAGAGACCTATGGTGGGGCATGGGGGTTGTCCTGCCATGGCAAGAGGGGCTGTGCCAGCTGGGGAGATGCAAAATGAATTGAAGGAAGATCTAACAAAAATTAGAAATGCTTCAGCAGTAAGTCAATTAGTTTTCAACGTGGAAAAGCTATTATGTGCAATTACAAACTTGGATTGGGATTGGGTTGGGTTTTTTCATTATTTACCTAAGAAAAAAGAAATTCACGTGTTTTTCATGCTTGCTGATATTTGTGAATTTAGTAATATTGCAGCACTTTTTAAATAAGGGGAATTATTAGTCGTGGCCAACAGGAAGAAAAAGTTCATACATGTATTTCTTACAGGGTTTTTTCCAGTTTTTTCCTTTGCAACTGTTACTTTTCTGCACATTTTAGTTTTAGGAACTACAGCTGCAAGGAAAGTGTTTAGTTCAGCACTTTGCTGTTTACAAATAAACTCAGCTCAAGAAAGTATTTCACGTGCAGCCAAAGCATCTGATTTCCAGGGGTGCTGAGCCCCTGAGAAGTAATGAGTGGAGGTCAGTGGAGAGCTGCAGGTTTGGGGTGTTGATGCCATGTGTGCCAAGGCGTGTGATGTGTCACCACCTCAAACACCTGTGGGTCAGCACAGGTAACTTCCCATTTTGGTCCTGAAAGGAAACAGGCATCTGTGCTGCCCAGCTGGGTTTTAAAAGCTGCAGAACTGATCTGCCACAGCCCTGGAGAGAGGCCCTTCTGTGACAGAGGGAAAAGCCCTGCTGTGGCCTTGAGGCTCCCTGCGTTGGCACTGGAGGCTCAGGTGAACGGCAGCGGGTTCTGTGACCGCATTGTGTTCGTCACCTGGTGACACAGTGTGGCTGTTGCTCCCAAACCAGCCCCTTTTCTGGGTAAATTGGCTGCTTTGCCAAGAGCTGAAGCTTGGCATATGGAGAGGGAGAGGACAGTGCCCCAGAACTCGTGCCCAAGCTTCAGGCTTTTCTCTAATACCCAGCTTCAGACTCGCTGGAGCACTCGGACACGTCTCTGAAACATCCCTTCTGACACATTGCCTGCTTACAGGTGAGGCCCCAAACAGCATCTTCTAAACTGGGCAAACTGGAGATGCATATTTAAAGAGTGCTTTCACCTTGGTTAACAACTGACAACAGGAACATATTTAGAGTAGCTGGTTGTATAAATACACTTGCTTTTAGGTTAGGAAAGGGAGAGCACAGCAAATAGAGAGGTTTATGGCTCCAGGCTCTTTGTTAAGAGTTTACTCTCAGCTCTTTTAAAGGGCTCATCAGGTTTTCCCCCACGTTTACAAAGCAAGTGCAATGCCTTACACATTTTTTTGGAAAGACATAATTACCTTAAGGGCTTTGGTATTTTTTTCTCCTTTAAGAAAGGTGGAAACAATGGAATGGGAGATGTCAAAGGGAGATGCTGCTCAGAGCCACAGCGATTTCCTTGCAAGGAACCAACGTGATAATGCAAATGGCAAGGGACTGTAAAACAGGGCTGATTCTCCCCCAAGTGCATTTTGTATCTTCAGAGTGAAAAGTACCAACTGCTGAGGCTGAGTTGAGTGTCTGTCCCTCCGTGAGCAAGAGCAAACCACCCCAGAGCTTCCCACGGGCCGGGCAGGCCAGGGCAGCACTGGGGCAAGCCCTCTTGGAATGCCATGGTCTGCTTGCAAAAGGAGGCTCTGAAGAACTCAGCCCCAGAATATGCACACCTTACAGAGTAATTCCTTGTGCTTGTTAATGTTTTATTGCAGCGTGTGTTTACAATGACAGCAAGCCTTTCAAACTGCGGCGGGATAACACGCTTCCTCACCGTATTAAAAAATAATGTTAGTGTAGATTTTATGTACCAGGGTGTAGACTGCTGCTAAGAGGCTGCTCTGACAACATTCTTTTTTTGAGGTTTACAGAAAGCATAATAAAATATGTAAGTTACATTTCTACAAACAAAAACTATAGCATAAGTTATTTATAAGCGTGAGATACAAATGGTATCATGATAAATAAACCTTAATGGATACCTGTGGCATCCATCCTAATGTAATTTGCCCAGCAAAAGTCATATTTAGTAGAAAAACCTGGCAGCAGCTGTGTGTTGGTGTATAAAATAAGAATGAAAGAGGGAAGGAAGCGGTGCTGAAACCCCGGCTGTTTCCCCGGGCATATCCACAACCTGCTGTACCTCCCTGCCTTCTCCTTCACCTGGGGCTGGCACTGCTGCTCAGGGAGACCAGATGTCTCTGCATCTTTCAGGACTTGTCCACGATACCAGGATGTTCCCTGTCGGCTTCACTACAGCCTGATTTTATCAGAAGTGGCAGAAAGAAATCGAGCCCCATCTGCCCATCATCCTCTGTGGTCCCTTCCCTTACAGGGGTGGCTCTTTCCCTGACACCTCCCTTGTACCCTCCCCACCTCATGTAGCCTCAGCTATTTGTGGAATGAGGCATGGATTCTGAACTAAAATAAAATTTTGGCTTTTTTAATATAACAGTTAAGGTTACCTACCCCAAAAAGATGAGCTTTGGAACAGGAATCGAAACTACTAAGGCACATTCGTCTGTCAGAGACTGCAGCCCACATGAGCACTGGCTCTGTGAGTGGGGTTTTACTGCTTGCACCTGCTGGGACACAGAGTTTTATCAGTGTCTATGTATCCAGCCTGTCGGCCTGAGCTCGTGGAGCAGGTGTCCTGATCTCCTTCAGGTCAGGGTATGGGGAATGTCCCTTGCTCTGCTGGGGAAAGGGCTGCTGAAGACAGAGCTCTGCTCCCCCACCCTGCCCTCTGTCTGTGTGGGGTGAGGCTCTCCCCAGCTGGAGGCAGGAGGGGCACAGCCCTCCAAGCCCAAAGGAGGGGGCAGAGGGGAATGACCTTTAGCTCCACAGCACCAGAGCTCTTCCCATCGATAAAGAGCAGCTGACTCAACCCTTGTGGGCTGACAAAACTGTGGATCTGCTCTGCTGAGCACCAGGAGCTGAGTGCCTGCCCACGGTGCTGCCCCGTGAGAGCTCGACAGGCTGGCACACGGGTCCTGTTCCATCACTGGGGAGGGGCAGCCACGCCACTGCTCTGTCCTGGGGACCACTGTTGGCCGCAGTGGTCCCCACCCAGGGGGGCTCAGGCCTGATGAGGAGGACCAACAGGGACCAACAGGGTTTCACAGAGCCCTGCAGAAGGTATGATGGTCAGGGCTGCATCCCCTTCCAGTGCACACCTCAGTCCTTGCCACTGTGTGTCCCTGGCTGGCACAGCTGGGTATGGGCAGAGCTCAGGCAGCATCTCACTGCATGTTTTTGCTGTCCCCCTCTTCCTTCACCTTCCCATGCCAGGACACAGAGTACCCATGTCCCTCTCCAGCCTGAACACCAGCGTCACCTGCCAGCTCCACAACAGTGCTGCTTCCAGGGCTACAGCTGAAAAGTGACCTGTGTCCTCTGTCATGCTGACTTCCACGTGAACTGTATGTAATCACTCAAAACCGTGCTGGGTTCATGCAGGAATAACCATCCAGAAAGGGCTGTGAGCACAGGACCAGCCTTACCCACCCCGAGACCTTCTGCCAAAGACAGAAGCTACAGCAGGAACGTCACAGTGTCTGCTGCTGCTCTCTTGTGCACTGAGATATTGCTGTTCTCTGCCACGCTGCAGGTAAAAACAAAACCCAAAGCAATGAGTGATGCCCTTGTGGGGTGGCACCTTCCCAAAGCTGCTGGTGCCTCCTGCACCGTCAGGGAGCCAGACCAGCCCACAGCCCTGAATTCCTGCATATTGAGGGAGGGTCTGTGGGCAACAGAGGAGTTTGGCACCTGAAAGTTGACACGGCCTTGAGGAGGCAGTGTGACAGCTAGTGAGGCAGCATGAAGGTGCTTCTGAACGCCTGACCTGTAGGTTAGATGCTGGTCAAACCCCTCTTTCTCCAAGCAATTGCCTTCCAGCTGTTAGGCAGTACCTTGGGTACCACTGCTGGTCCCAGGCTGAGATGGAAAGAGCCATTGCAGGAACTGGAGCTTCTAGACCTTGGGCATGGGGGACAGCGTGCTGGGTATGTGAGCCAGGGCATCACAGCCAGAGTGCTGAAGAGGGGACAATGTGAGAGGAGCTGGAAATGCAGAAGTGCAGCTAGTTGGATGTACTGGGACAGCTTTCTGGAGCACTGGGAGTCAGACTCGGCTGGACTAAAGCCCCAGCGCAGCAGTTCAGCAGCAGTGGAATGTGCTCAGCAATTTCAGGTGTGATCCAGTCTCTCCACTACCTGGGCTCACTGAAGCCCCTGAGCCTGTATTTCCACAGCAGGTTCATTTGGCGCTGCCACTCTCCCAGGATGAGCCCGATGGGCATCGCTGGCCTGGGCACCACCACAGCCACTCAGCTGTGCCAACCTGCACCCCTAACCCCCACAGCTGCATCACAAACACAGTGGTTGCAGGCTGCAGGGCTGTTCAAAGTGTGTGCACTGGACAGGCTCCAGGCTTTGCGGTGGTGTCTCCTCTCGAGCCAGGCGCAGCCTCACAGCCTGTGCACAAGCAGCCCTGGTGGGTGGGCACAGAGCGTGATTAGCAGTGTTCATCACGTGTTTTTATTATCTCATCCTACAGGAAGCACTTTAAAAGCCAGACGGTGGCACTGGGCACTGCCAGGCACATTGAGGAATTCTGCAAGGATATGGGTCCTTTGAGGACATGGTCCTGCAGGACACCCTCCCTACAGCATCCTCCGTGTTTTGAGCCCAGAGACGTTCCCGAGGCTGAGGAGTGTGTGTGTGCACCACAACCAAACCTGGTGACTGTGACAGGCTGCAGCACATCCCCCTCCACATCCCCTCCACGGCAGCCAGGCCTGGCAGAAACTCTGGGTTTCAGGGATAAGTGAGACAGATGCTGCATCTCTGTCCCCTGTGACTCCCACTGACAAACTGGATGGGAGACTCTTCTGCCCAGTGGTGCCAGGGAGGTGGTCACTCCTCTTACACAACACTAGTTAATTTTTTTCCCCTGCTTAACTATGTCCTTCACAGGTGGCTGGAGCAGGGCTCTCTGGCCCCAGTCAGTCCCAGTGGCTCAGCCATGCTCCCTGACAGGCCAAAGGAGCCATGCCCCAGCCTGGCAGTGGGGCTGCACAGAGCTTCTCCCTGCCAGCACCACGGGCTTGGCACCACATCTCAGTTAACGTTTGTACAATATGCAGAGTTTTAAAGGAATGACAATGCCCCCTCTCGCTCCACAGCAGCCTTCCCACACGTTCCCAGAAGCCTCCATTCCCAGCCTCCTCCTGCCTGCCTGGCTCAGGGACCCGTCCTGCGAGTGCTGCAGCTGCTCGGCCCCCTGTGCTGGGCCAGAGGCACCTGCAGCCCGTGATCAGGTGGCACTCACGGGCCACCCCCTCTCCTGGCGTGCTGTGCCACACTGCCCTGCAAAGGCCACGCTGTGCTGTGCCATTCCTGCCACTCCATGCAAAGGCAATGCCATACCGTGCCATGCCGTGCCGTGCCAGGCCCAGGCTATGCTATGCCACACTTTGCTATGCACGTCTGGGGCCTGGCCAGAGCCCGGCTGGGTATGGGGTTCCTTACACTCAGCTGCACCCCTGCGGTGGGGAGCTGTGCCTCTCCCTGCCCGGTGGGGTCAGCCCCGGGCTGGGTCCGGCTCCCCGATGGCACAGAGCGGCCGAGGTTTGGGCGGGCACGCCCATCTCCGCACCACAGTCACCCCGCGGCCCCGGCCCTGCTGGGGGCCGCAGCACCGCGCCGTGCCGGAAGGATGCGGGGATGCAGCTCCGGCCCAGGGCGCGCCGTCGGGGCCGCAGATCCGCTCGCTGCGGGCGGGGGCCGGGAGGGAGGGAGCGGAACCCCTCAAGGAGCCAGGGACCGCGGCGTTTGGCAAAGCGCAAGCGGATTTTGGGTCAGAAACGGTGCCGTGCGGGGCTCTGCGCGGGGCTCTGCAAGCCCCCAGCCCGCGGAGGGGCGAGGAAGACGGGACGAGGCGACTGCGAGAGAGCTGCATTTAAGGATACCATACGTCCGGGGTTATTAATTATAAAACATAATTAAAGTAAAACTGCAGAACGTCAACATATTAAATTTAAAAGCTAATATTAAAATAGCGTTAATATTTAATAAGGTAGCTGAGCGTTACAGAGCTGTACGCTGATACTCTATATTTAACTGTGTAAAACCAGGAGAGTTTTCCCAAAGAAAAATGTATTGTTTAGCTGATTATCAAAGACTCTGTGATATATTATCCATTTCACAAAAATAATATAGATATCTTTTTAAATATAGTAATAAAAACATACTAGCGCCTTTTAAATATACTATTACTTACCACCCCTTTTCATATTGTACTATCACAGACACTTTGGAATTGGTTTAAAAGCACATCATTCATTATTCAAAGCTCATCTTTGCATATTATTCCAGCTCAAGTCTGCCAGGCTCCCTGTGAAATCGTTCACAAAATTGATAACAGCAGACACACACGCAATAAAAAGATCGCCTTGGGCAGCCCGAGCTCCCATTATGCAGATCGAGCTGCAATTTTCTCTAACAAAGCCTGCCCTGATCCAGGACTGGGTGGCACTTTATTTTTTTCTTTATTTATTTAGCCTCCACGGATTGCCTTTTTTTTTTTTTTTTTTTTTTTTTTACCTTTTTTCCCCGCTCCTTTTCCCCTCTATCCCCTCCCGCCCGCCCCGCCGGGCCGTCCGGAGCGGAGCCCCGAGGGCCGGGCACCCGCGGCCGCTCCACTGGGGCTGTGCGGCCCCGCACCAGCTTGCGGGATCGCCTCAATCCGATTAGCTCCGCTCCGGGGAGCGGCGGCTCCGCTCGCACCGAGCGGGGACAATCCGATTAGGCTGCCCGGGGCCGGGGGTGGCAGCGGGTGGTTCCCCCGGGGGGCTGGGCGTTTAATAGCCGTGTTAATGACCGCCGGGCGGGGCGGGGCTCGTGTCCGTCGATGCCGGGGGCCGGGGAAGGCTCCTCGACGGCCGCGGGCAGGGACGCGCCTTCGCCGCTCCCCGGGAAACTCCCGCGGCAGTTTCGCTGCGGCCGCCGGGCCCCCGTTGGGGGCGGCGCCGGGTCGGACCCCGAGCCCCGTGCGGGGCAGGGGCAGCGGGGGGGGGCACGGAAAAAGAACCCCCGACCCCGCTTCTGCCGCAGGGAGCGCGGCCCGCAGGTGCCACCAGCCGCGGGCGGGCTCCAAGCAGTGCCCGGCAGGTCGGTCCCGCTCGCTGCCGCTGAAACGATTCGGAGCGTTGCGGTAATTGAATCCTAAGGTTTAAAAACTAATCAAGTCCTTCCTGTCACCGCTCCGGCATCCCGGGCTCGCCCTGCCAGGTGCTGATCAAATGCCATTACATTCTATTAACAGGGAAATTCTATTCCCTGTTTTCATTTCCCTTTATAAGAGGGAACTAAGTAAATGCACTGAGCGTTATTTAATTGTTAACGCCTTGAGTCCCGTTCGGCCGTCAGGGACCGGATACAAACGCGCTCAGAGGCCGCGCCGGGCTCCACAAATTCAGCCCAAACGGAATCTATCCCTGCACAGCCCCGGGCGACCCCCGGCCCGGCCGCAGGCACCGCCTCGTCCCGCCGCTCCGCGCTGCCGTTGGGGCGGGAGCCCGGCGTGGCCTGGCGGGCCTGGGCAGCCGCGGGGCGCCGGGACCGAGCCCCGCTTCGCAGGGTCGCCTCGGGCGGACAGCGCGGAGCGGACCGTCGAGGGGTCGCGGCTCCGTCGGGCCGGGGCTGAGCCGGGCGCGCCGGGCAGTGCGGGGCCGTCGGGCGGGGCGGGGCCGTGGTCCGCGCGGCGCGGGGCGGTGCGCGGTACGGGGCCGTGGTGGGTGCAGGGTGGGGCGGTGCGCGGCGCAGGGCCGGCCCGGGGCGGCGGTCGGTGCGGTGCGGGGCCGTGGGCGGTGCGGGGCCGTGGGCGGTGCGGGGCGGTCGCGGTGCCCCCGCGACGTGCGGCCCGTCCCGATCCCCACGCGGGGCCATTGTCCGCGCGCGCTGTGATGTCACGGCGCCCCCGCGCCCGCGCGCGCGGCCGGTGCGGGGCGGCGGCAGCCAATGGGCGCGCGGGGGCGGGCGGGCGGCCAATGGCGGCGGCGGGGGCGCACGCGGCGCGGGGCGCGCGGCGGGCGCGGGCGGGGACGGGGGCTGCGCGCGCGCCCGCGCGCTCCGCAAAGTTTGGTGTCGCGGCGGGTCCGGGGCCGCGAGCGCAGCGCGAGCGGCGGCGCCTCCAGAGCGGGCACGGCCGAGGATGGACCCGCCGAGGATGGACCCGCCGGGGCCCGCGCAGGGCCAGCACCAGCACGAGCCCATCAGCTTCGGCATCGACCAGATCCTCAACAGCCCCGAGCAGGACAGCGCTCCCCCACCGCCGCCGCCGCCGCCGCCGCCGCCCCCGCGGGGCCCCGACGGCGCGACCTTCCTGGGCGGCCCCGGCGGCCGCGGCGGCGCGCCCTACCCGGCCCTGCCGGCCCCCTTCCCGGCCATCGCCGCGCCCTTCGAGGACTCGGGATCGTACAGTGTGAACCTCAGCCTGGCGCCGGCCGGCGTGATCCGGGTGCCGGCGCACAGGCCCATCCCCGGGGCCGTGCCGCCGCCCATCTCCAGCGCCATCCCGACCATGCCCGCCGTGCCCAGTCTGGGCAGCCTCAACTTCCCCTGGATGGAGAGCAGCAGGCGCTTCGTCAAGGACAGGTTCACAGGTAAGGCGCTGGGGCGGAGCGGGCGAGCCGGCTCCCAACAAGCAACGAAAGGGCCTATAAAAAATGTAAAACGAAATAATTATAGTAATGCGAATAAGAATAAAAGCAAAGGCGGCCACTGGATGCTTCCCTCCCCCGCGCTCGCAGCGAGCCGAAAAATCGCTTTCCGCACGGCGTGGATAGCGCGGGGCGCCCCGGGGGGCGGCCGGGCCCCGTTAGCCTCCGCAGCCTTTCGACGAGAGGTGGAAGCGGGACGCCGGGGAGCCGAGGTCCCTCCGAGGGCCGGCGGGGCGCGGGCGGCCGGCGGGCAGAGCGGCGGCCCCGGGGGGGCGGCCGGCACCGTGCGGGCGCGGGGCTGACCCCTGTGCTTCCCACCCGGGCAGCGGCGGCGGCGCTGACGCCCTTCACGGTGACCCGGCGGATCGGGCATCCCTACCAGAACCGGACTCCGCCGAAGCGCAAGAAGCCGCGGACATCCTTCTCCCGGGTGCAGATCTGCGAGCTGGAGAAGCGCTTCCATCGGCAGAAGTACCTGGCCTCGGCCGAGCGCGCTGCCCTCGCCAAGTCCCTCAAGATGACGGACGCCCAGGTGAAGACCTGGTTCCAGAACCGGCGCACCAAGTGGCGGTGAGTCCCGCGCCCCCGGAGCCGCCCCGTTCCCCGCCCGCCGCCCCGCGAGCCCCGCTCCGGCCGGGATCGCCCCCGGAGCCGGCTCCCGGCAGCCGAACGGTTGGGGGTAAATTTTTGTTATCGTAATACCGTAATTATTATTGTTACTATCTTTATATTTTTCTTTTTCATAGTCCCCCATTCGGAAAACGGGGGATTATTCGTAAAAAAAAACCGAGGGATTATTCGAAAAAACGGGGAATTGTTCGAAGAAACGGGGAAATAATTCGGGGGAAAAAAAAAAAAAACAACGGGGGAATGTTGGGAGAAAACGGGGGAATATTTGGAAACGGTATTGCTGTGAAACACCGGGTTTCCAGGAGCTTCCCGCCTCCCGGAGTCGCTCCGCTGGCGGTCGAGCGGCGGCCGCCCGCCCGGTGTGCCCGGCCCCGGTAGGACGCGGCCCCGCTGCCCGCGGGGGATGCGCCGGCCGCCCTGCCTGGGTCCCGCGGCCCCGGGCCCGTCGCTCCCCGCGGGGTCCGGGCGCGGGCTGAGCGTGTCCCCCGGCAGGCGGCAGACGGCGGAGGAGCGGGAGGCCGAGCGGCAGCAGGCGAGCCGGCTGATGCTGCAGCTGCAGCACGACGCCTTCCAGAAGTCGCTGAACGAGTCGATCCAGCCCGACCCGCTGTGTCTGCACAACTCGTCGCTGTTCGCGCTGCAGAACCTGCAGCCCTGGGAGGAGGAGAGCGCCAAGATCCCCCCGGTCACCTCTCTCGTCTGAGCCCGGCAGCCCGGGCACGCAGCGGACTGGCCCGCGGAGCGCGGCCGGCAGCTCCCCCTGCCCCGGGGCCGCGGTTCCCCCCGTCGGGGCAGGGGGCGGGGGCGGCGAGCGGCGCCCACGGGGCTGGGACTGGGACCGACCGGAGCCGGGGCCGGAGCCGCTTCCCCGAGGCCGGCGCGGAGCGGAGCCGCTTGTATATTTGTGTCGATGTTCCACTAGGAAGGGAAATATGTCACTTTTTGTAAGAAGTGTTAATACTTTAATTTATTTATGCATCGAGATTTTGGGCACTACTAATATGGAATTATATAAAACCTCGATTATTTATATCGAAATCTGAACATAGGTATTTTGTGTTGGCTTTGGAACAAAAGGCTATTTTTTTTTCCTGTTCTGAGGATAGTGTAAAGAAAAAAATACCTCCCTATCACTTAGCGGAGGGGACTCGATGGAGCCGGTGATGACTCATTAGCTTAGGAAACCCTATTAAACTGAAAAACGGTAGCTCCCATCTGTCCCAGGTGAAGTTAATGTCAGCTGTAATTTATTCACCGTAGTAATAAGGGCTCCTTCCAGGCACCACACGCCGTTCTGTCCTCACCTTCCCAGCCGATGAGCTTTAGAGCCCCGAAACAGCAGTCGCTCCCTGCGCCACCGGCTCTCGAGAAAGCGCCTTATGTTTCATAATAAAGAAGATTTGGGGTTGACACAGACAATGTATAATACTTTGTACTTGCCGAGACGTGTAAATAAACGTTTTCTTTACAAACGCCTCTCCGCTCTCTGCCGCCGCGACGGGGGGAGCCGAGCCGAGCCCGCCGGGCCGGGCGCTGCGGGGCGGGCGGCGGAGACGGAGGTGAGGCCGGAACGGGGGCGGCGAGAGGAGCGGGGAGTGGGCCCGGGGCGGCGGGCGGGCTCGGAGCGGGGCCGGGCCGCTGGTACGCGATGCTGCCGGTCGCTCCCCGCTCCGCCGGTGCGGGGGGAAAGCGTCCAGGAGCGGCCCCGGTTTGGGATACGGTCGGCAACGCCGCATGGGAGCGAGGGGAGCGGGGCCGCGGCTCTGCCGGTGCGGGCCCCGCCGGGCCCCGGTATTTCCTCCCTGCCGGGCCCCGGTAGTTCCCCCCACGCCGTCCCGCCGCTCCCGCTGGCGGGGCTCGGAGGTTTTCGTTTCGCTGCCTTCTCTGCGCACACCGCGCCGGCAGCGGGACGGCGGCGGCCGCGGCTCCCGGTGTCCGCCCCCGGGGTGCGGGGGGATTTTTTAAGAACAACCTCCCGCAGTTCTCGGGCCCGGGTGTCTCGGCCTCCAGCAACGGGGGAAGCTGCAAAACTGACATTTTTAGAAAGCAGCCATGGCCAGCGCGGGTTTCCCCCGGCCCTGGGCAGGACCCGGCGCGGCCGTGGCCGCGTTCCCGGGTGGGGCACTGGGGGGCTCTGCCGCTCCCACGGTCACCGGGAGACTGCAGGAGTGTAACATCGTTCCGAGCTCGCTGGTCCCGGCGGCGGCACAGGGCGGTTTAGGGCCGGGCAGCCGCACAGGGCAAGGGATGGAGCAAATATTTCCTTGACCAGTCCTTTCCTCAGCGGGACCAGAGCAGGGGCTCCGGTCGTAGCCGGGTTTTTGGTTTGTCGGGGGGAGGCTGTGGAGGTCCCATGGCAGGGCCAAATCCAGTCACAGCGGGGTGATGGTGCTGGGGCCGTGCAGCTGCTTGACTAGTGCCGTTCACCAGCCGGAATGTGCGGCCTGAGCTGGAACACCGATCGAGGGAAAATCTCTGGCAGGGAAGGAAAAAAAAAAAAAAAACAACAACGGGGAAATCTATACCGGGCCACAAGGTGCGCGGGATCGCCGCACTCCGATCCACTGTCCCCACCAGAGCCCCACCAGTGCTTTGCCCCAGCCCCAACGCGGCCCTATTTGGTCCTTTCGTTATCCCGCCGCCCGGCTGTGCCAGGGCTGCCGGCCCTCGGCATCAGCTCGGCATTTGCCGGGCAGAGAGGGAGAAAAACCCCCGGTATCGTACGCAGAACAGCCCAGAGAAACCCGCGTGTTAGCGAAAACGTGGAAGAGTCAAGCTCTGAATGGGGTTGAATACACGGGCACCCATATTCACGTGTGTACTGGTGTTGTGTTCTACCTGTACCCCCGAACACCTATAACTGTATTGTGTTCAACACATCGTTGTTCTTTTAACTGTTCGAGCACCCCGCAACCATTAACTTCTGTGTTCCTGATTTCCCTGCAGTTTCTCCCAAACTGCTGTAAGCCAGGAGCAGTGTGTTTGCAGAGAGCAAAACGATGCTGCGTTCTGCAGTAACCAGCTTTGTGGCAGGCGAGGATCTTGCGCAAAGCACCGTCTGCTTAGAGCCCTGTTACGATCGGCAGTGCCATGGGGGGCTGAACTCGGCGGGGACAGCCCAGGCAGGGCTCGGGGTCCCCTCGCCGCTGCTGCTCTTGGGCAGCAGCGGGCAGCGGGATTGAGCCTCGGGGCACCGCAATCTGTCAAAGGACTTCAGAAACCAGAAACAAACTTCCCTTTCAGCTGTCTGACGAGTCATCAAACAGTGGGACTTGCGTCGTGGGGGCTGCCTTGGCTTTGCTGGTGTCTTTGTTCCCGAGGAGCTGTTGTCGAGGATTTGAGCTGTGCTGAGGATGAGGGAGACAGTCTCCTGCATCCACATCTTGTAAGACAAGAGTGCGTGGGCAGTAAGGGCAATTGTGCGGTGGTGCTGAAGGGACAGAAGTGTGGATTACCTCCAGTTACTCTGTCCAGCTAATCCAGTGTTTAGAGGATCCTTGGGAAAACACCAGTTGGAACAAACACACAGTGTTTCCCTCTCTGGGTGGGAGCAGTGTTCCCTGCCAGCCTGGTTCAGGTGTGACAGGGCTGTCTGATGGTCCCTGCTGTGTATCTCTGAAGGTCTGTCAACAGAGAGTGACCCCCGTGAGGGTTTGCACGGACTTCAGACCCCACCAGCTTGAGCCTCTTTGCACCAAAGAATATAATCCTTGGTACAAAGAAGGGTGTGAGTGCCCTGTAGAGGAGAGGACCTCTTTTGGGGATGGGCTGGTTGTTGTCCTGATCCTGTTGATTGACCTGTCCCCATATTGCACTTGGGCTGTGGAGTGGACAACTCGAGTTGAGCAACTGTTTGACTTCCCAGTTTCTGAAACAGCCTTCTTGCAGCTTGGGCCCTGGCTAGCTGTAGGGGAACATGGTTTTTCTTTCATCCTCCTCCTCATTACAAAATGCTCCTTTACCTCCACGGGAGACTCCTTAAAAGACTGCAGTCAGCAGGGGATGAGACTGGTGGAGTGCAGGCAGTGTGAGGGCAGCAGCAGCTCCTGCGGCTGTATTGCAGCATGGCTATTTCACAGGGAGTCATTTGAGTGTAGGCAGTGAAAGTCTTGTGATGGAGATGTGGTCTGAGAGTGCTGAAGATGCTGCACATCCCATCAAGCTGAGTTTTAATCTGTTGATGCTTGGTGCTGCGATGAAATTGATGTTTCCTAGCTTTTGGATGATCTTTCCGAAGCAGTCTCAAATCTGCAAGTGAAACAGCTCTGTGCATTTGTGCCCTGTAAAGCCCGCACTGTGTACTCACACTCCCCCCCATTTGCAAGTTTTAAGCCCCAAAAAACTTGTGTTTGTTGAACAAGGATGGAAAAATGCAGTGAGAGTTAAGGATTATTGAATCATCAATGGAACTTAACTTTGAGCAGGTCAATTTCCAAACTTTGCTGCACAATGTGTGTAAGTGATTTCCCATCTAGGGCCGGGTAGCTGAGTGGGGGGATGCACAAGCAGAGCTCGGCATAACTGGAGGAACATCAACTGTTTCTTCAGAGCTGCTCCTGACTTTGCTTTAAGCCCCAGCCCAAAGCAGCTCCTGTACCAAGCCTGCACGCACAACTCCTCTTCAGGACAAAAATGGCTCCAGAATTTGCCTCTCTCAGCATTATTTTGTGCCCAGGGTATTAGATGTTACAAAGTAATGCATGGTGATCAGATCTGTATAGGCAATTCTTTTCCTAAATGGGCCTTAAAATCAATGGGTTATTAGCTCTCCTCCACTCTGTGATGAAAGCCTGGTCCTGTTAAACATGCAAACTACACAATATTCAAAGCCTTGGTTTACAAAAGTGTTTTGCTCAGCCAGGTCATAATTTAGCTCATTTATAGCTGACAGAAATAATACTGAGGTTGACATCTTGCTCACACCTATGAATTTTCCTTGAAGCTTGTATTTCTGCACTAAAGTCATCCCCACTGCTGATGAGTAATAATTTAAGGGCTGTGACTCACCCAGGTGAGCACTTGCTCATGCAACTGTTCCTCCTCAGTTGGTAGATTCTCTCCTTATGTGTTGCCTGAGCAAGTTGGACCAGGTAGATGAAGTGTTTGCTCCTGTGTAGGTGGACATTTCTGGAGAAGAGTATGTGCACCCCCTTTTCCCTTCAATGCTGTGTGTTTCCCTTGCCCATCCTCTTGAGTCCAGTAAACTCTTAACTTTTTCCTGACTCAGTAGCAGAATAAATATTTCTACTTGGTGGCCACTTGTTTTTGAGGATCTGAATTTGCCTCCAGGAGGTACCCTGGTAGCTTTGATGTGCAGGGCTATAGTGCAGTTTGTGGCAGTTTGGCACCTGTGTGCTTTTCCCCCTTTTTGAGGGTGTCTCTCTGCATTTTTAGGCATCTCAGATGTCTTAAAAATCTGCTTTTAAGTCAGCAGTAGTTAAATTTAATTTAAGGATAAGAAATAAAATATTCTCCCCAGGTCATTTTGACAATATGAGACATCTGCCTAAAGGCATCTCTGCATTGTGCATTCAGAAATGTCCACGTGTCCTTTGTAGGATGTGCTCAGAGCTGGAAACACTGGGAGTGTGGAGCCTGAGCCTCGTGAACTGCCATGATCATGGAACCACAGAATGGTTTGGGTTGGAAGGGGCATTAAAACTCATCTGGTTCCAACCCCCTGCCATGGGCAGGGACACCTTC